GGAGGGAGGGAGGGAGGGAGGAGGGGCAGTGATTTTTAAGTCACTCAAAATAACGCATGACAAAATACAAAAATGAAAAGCACAAGTAGATGTCAAAATAAGGGGTACAAATTATTATAATGCCATTTTTTAACATTTCTCCCCAAAAAATATGAATAAGATGGGGCAAATATTGTACAAACTATGACAAACCAAAGCTACAAAGTAGAGAAATGGGAATAGCATGATGTGTGGCTATCAGATGAAAAAAGGAGGAGAAAAAAGAGATACGCTACACACATTTTAAAAAATGCATACATAAAACGATGATTCTTTGTTGGCGAGAGGCCGATCCGTCGTCTTTCAATGAGAAGTGACGAGAAAGACTTTGTTCTTTGAGGGCTGCGTCACTGTACGGACCTTGGACGACCTGAGCACGAACTCTCCCAACTGAAGACACGTAACATGTACGCACTGTAACTGACTGTGAGTGTGACTGGGACTGTGAGTCTGTGTGACGTCATGATTGCCTCCCGGAAAGTGACTGACTGACTCCACAGGTCCGTGTGGACCCAAACAGCCGCCAGTGATGGGGCCAGCCAGCCCGAGGTCTTGGGTCCTATGTATTGTTTCATAATGGCTCTAACTTTACAGAGTTCTTGAGCAAAAACAAAAATGTCAAATTCTCTCGGCAAAACTTACTTGAATGGTTCTTCCACTGTGATGTTTGAGTGATCCCCCCCCCCCCCCAACGTCGACACAGTTCTGGTAATCGTAAAGATCTCCAGGGAATGTGACGTTGTGACGTGGGGGGCAGTTTCACGGCGGTCAAAAGGAGTCGAACAATGATCAATGTCTGATGAGATCAATAAATTCTGTCCTTCCTATACGATGTTTCTGAGAGCCACGATAACGCTCGATAATTAAACGTTCAAGACATGAATGACTGATGCCTCTATATGAATGGTCTGGTCTGCGAATGTTGCAGGGAAGCTAACTCTCTGGACCTAAGACTTATGGTGTTCAAAGTTTGTGAAGCCTTCAATTAAGCCAGATTTATTCTTTCCCGTTTGCCATCCTGTGGGCTTCACACCTCTTGAAGAAACACACTATTGTTTAAAGAAGCGGGACCTCCAGTTTAACATCCGTCTCCGATAAGACGACCTTGAAAAAAAAGGATCGGTTGAACTCTCCTCTGTAAACCATAGCTGAAACAAAACGTCGACCACGGAGCTGCGAGCTGAGCTAGTGTCGGGCCGAGGAGTCCTCAGCCAGCGGGGAACTCACGTCATGAGCAGACTTGAGCTCTTTTTTCAATCTGCATTTAAACGGGTAGCTCTTGAAGTCTTTGACGACACTGCTGCTGCTGCTGCTGCTGCTGCTGTTGCCGTCCTCATGGCTGCTTCCGTCGGTGCTGAGCAAGCTGTATCTCCTGTTGGCGGCGGCACACACAGCGCTGTTGTTGCCCTCGGGGGCGCTGGTACAACTCTCGGGGGATGAGGAGTCTCTCGCCGGCGTGGAGCGGTTGCTGTGCTCACTGGTCAGATCCAGCGCCCCCGACTTGTCTGTCCGTATGGCAGTAAGGTCCACGCGGTGGGGGAGCGGGCTGGGCGAGTGAGGACTGTGGGATCCGGCACGGCTACTCAGCAAGTTTCGTTTAGAGTTGAGAGAGAGAGCTACCGCCGAATGGCCTGCGCCACTGGCTGAGCTCCCCATGGAGCTAGTGCTGCTGCCGATGGAGTCGGTTCTGTCTCTCGTGGCCGGGCCCAGCATGTGGTTCAGAGTATTCACGTTGTACATGCGAGAGTCGTCGTTAGATCGAGAGTCATCTGACCCGGGTCTCTGCTGGTCTAGGTCATCGTTTGGATGGAGTTTTTCGGGAGATGGCGATGATGATGAAGGACGAGATAACGCGGTAAAGGAAGCGACAGGCCTCCCTGGCATTTCTGAAGACCCGTCGTCAGAGAGCGTCGCATTTTCGTCTAACCCAAATCGTCTTTTTAAGGCTCGCATCTCATGTTTAAGTTCAATATTTTCTTTTTGTAAGTCTAACATCCTAGTTTCCATCATTTTTTCTAAAGCCTTCCTTTTCACTCGAGACCGGCGGGCAGAGTCATTATTTTTCAGTCTTTTATTCCAGTAACCTTCATCCTTCTTATTGTCAGGCACAAATTCTCTTTTGGCTCTTTGGTGAGTATTCATGGGCATGAGTTCATTTCTATAGGCAGGGCTGGCGACATTATTTACCAATATCGATGGCATTGTCAGTTTTCCGTCACTGCCTTTCATCTGAAAGGATCCGACTTCCGGGCGAATTGGCGCCACAACGTTTAAGAACTCTGATTGGTTGACAACACTGTCGTCTGGAGACGACGCCCCATCTCTTGCATATTTGGGCAGCATAAAACTGTGGTTCAGATTATGGTGCGGGTGGGGCATGGGATATGGCCGGAAGCGATGTTTGGCGTCCAGAAACACTTGCTCTTTGTCCGCGGCGGTGTACTGGCGAGAGAGGGCGGGGCTGGGACTGCTGTCTTTGCCAGACACTGTCATGTCTACGGGAGCCTCCGACAAGGGGACGTCATCCATGCTTTCCAGACGTTCTTGTTTCACTTCGAGTTGCTTCCCGTGGAACATGAGCATGCGTTCTTGGAACGGGGAGGATGTGGAGGCGGAGGGATACATTGATGTCAGCATTCTTTTTTCCCTGAATTCTGGAAATGTTGGCGACTCGACTGACGAGTGGGTCTTTTGGTCAAGATGGACGTACGTGTGTTCTGTTTGTCAGATCTGGAGAGAGGGGGAATAAAAAAAAAAGTTAGTGTACGTGGATATAATCACATTAAGTTTGTGCTTGTATTCTGGTCATATTTATTGTTTGTTTGTTTGAGTAGGTGTTTTACAGCGCTATCGACTCTGTTTTGGTCAGTTCCAGTACTATTCAGAAACGGGGGAGGACAATCAGATTATAGAGTTTGTGGATACAACGTCACTCTTTTTGTGCAGGGGAAGATAAAACAATCTCAATACATCCCATACCAGCCTTTTGTTTGTTTGTTTGAGTGGGTGTTTTACGGCACATCAACTCAGTACCAGTCTTTCGAAAGGCCAGAACGTGTCTGTCTTTATAACATGTAATCAAAGGGATTTCTTACTAGGGGCTGCTGTTTTCAATTAATGAAAGATAGCAGATAGCATATAGTAAAGCACGCAAATTCCCGTTTATCAGCAAACTCTATGGCTTTATTACGTTCTCGGTTGTAGGCGTACAATTTGGACCGCATGGAATTGCGTCATATTAGACGTAAGTCCCCCCCTCCCCACCTCCTCGTAGCTAACTGCGCTGCTGGTCACAGGTGAAAGTTACGGTCTAGATTATTGCGTCACATGACGAGAAAGGATCGCTCCGAGTGGAATGGGTTATTGAGAGAGAGAGAGAGAGAGAGAGAGAGAGAGAGAGAGAGAGAGAGAGAGAGAGAGAGAGAGAGAGAGAGAGAGAGAGACGGGGGAGA